CTGACCCTGTGCGCCGACTGGCTCTCCTATACGCCGCTGTACGCGGTGACTGGGTAACCCGGATCCCGACGCCGGCCCGGCCCCGCGCTCAACTAGGTCAATGCTTGCCTCCTCCCACCCCCTCTTTACTACCCCGACTGGCTGACTGTTTTATTCTACTTCTTCTGTTTTTTTTGTTTTTTTTTGTTTTCATCGCCATACATTGTAGCACAGCGTTTTCCATTGTATAAATGTACCCTCTGTCGAGGTGGGGGTGGATTAGCGAGTGCGTGCGAATCAATTTGTGATGATCATGTAGTTGGGGGGCGCGAGGCCAAGGGAAGCATTGACACGGAAACGGAGCGTCGACGCAGCGGGAGGAGCTTGTATCGATCCGTGACGTGTATAGGGGAGTCCTGCGTCGTCGTGCACCGCTGCCGGAAAAGATATACTCGAGCGATATTAATTTATTCATCGATTGTTTTTGCCGATTGTATATAATTGACGTTGTTACCCGATGTGCGTAACATACTTGTGCCGACGAGCCGTGTGTATATTTGTTTTTGCGCAACGATCGAGTGCGCAGTTGTGGCGTTTCTACACGGAGAGAGAGGAAACTTTTGTTTTAGCTTTATCTCCGTATAAAATTGAATACGCTCCCCCCCCTCTGACGTTGTTGCGTTGCGTAGAAAACGCAACAAAAGCGACAAAGCCAGTTGGCAGACGCCGATGATTACCTAATCATATCTCTGGCAATGAACTAAATACCTATATATGCATGTACATTGTGCTTTATCGGAAAACGCGCGCTTTTCTCCTTCTGTCCGATGCGCGACACCGTTTTGCATATACTTCCTCGTATGGCGCGTGCGCGTAGTGCCAAAAATATAACGTATATACAAAAGTGCGCTTATGGTCATTGGTGCTTGCAACTGTTATTAAAAACCGTAGCTCAGTCGGCATACAATACCCGCAATTGTCCACGAAAGATAAATAAAACCAGCTATACGTGCGGTTCCGTGCGTTACCTGCATCGGGGCGAGGCATGATTTATCTCGAGCCGTGACAACAAATACACACACAAGCGTAGCGCAGCTGCCGAAGCGGCGCGCGGATAAAAGGGACTTTGGGCTTAAGTTGACCAATCAGCCGTGTATATTATATGGAGGAAAAAAAAAAAAAATTGCACAGATAAATAATGGCACGCAGAACTGAGCGTGTAATACAATGGCTCCGATGGCGCGTGCTGCCACGCCCACTTTCGCGACCTTTCATCGCGCGGATACGTACTTATACCTGCGTCGCGTGCGTTCATATAGATATACGCGTGCACGGCGGATTATGCAACCGCGTGTATATTTACATACGTATACATATTACGTATAGATCAAAGCTGGGGGCACCAGAGCGGCCGTCGATGCGCGAGCTTTTGTTTCACATTTTTTCCTTTGGATGAGCTATGATCACCCGACGATCTCGTGGGTATACGTAGTAGTTTCGTTGTCTAGGAGTCCCGAGAGAGACGACAAAGAAGGGTCAGAGTGCACCCGCCGTCGTTTCGTTTTATCTTGTTGTTGAACTATTATTTCGACCTCGGCTATCAATTACCAGCCGGTGCCTTTTTTGCGCAGATTACGAAATTTTTCTCCCCTCCTCCATCAGCGTGACGTTTTGACTAATCGCCTTTGTTTCCCCGTTTCGCTCCCTTTGTGCTTTCACGCTTCGCGACGTTGGTTGTTTCATAGAATGTGGAAAACGTTCACCCCTTTGTTTCCACGGTACAAATACAGGTCCATCGATTACATGGAACATCGATTACTCGAACGCTTTGCCAATATAGTGTATACGCCAATATAGTGTTAGTAGTAAGAAATTGTCCACAAAAAAAAGGGGGATAGCGCGTGCATCATCCCTGAAACATTTGGGTCGCTCCCGAGAAGTGGTGCCAACGTAGCGCGCGCTCCCCGGTCGGCTCATGGGGGTTTCTCTCCCTCCGCGACCCAGTTTGGTTAGCCCGACGCCTGACCTACTTACCATCTGCCCGGGAATTCCAGCCAGAATACCGAGCTACCGCTGTACCGGCTACGGCCTGTGTGTGTGTGTGGGGATCTCTCGCGCGACCCATTTTCACCTCCATCGCGTGTCGCAGCGCAGTAGCGCCGCTGGCGGCACACAAGAAGCACACCAGCCAGTGGTAGTTTCGAAAGAGACGCGCTACGTCGATTAGAACCTCCTCCTCCCGTTGTTGGAGCATCGCTATTTTTAAAATCGCCAACCACGGGCGTTGTATGTCTACATGCCCACAACCAATATATACGTTTACATTACCTGTGATCCGTGTATACGCAGACGGTGCGGCACAATAATTTATCATAATTATACGGTAATTGACGCGGGCGTTGGATGCGGAGTCGTGGTGTTGGAGTAGTGCAGCTTCATCGGCGATTGCCGGCGTTTGCCGCGCCTGAGGAAAATATGGTTCGCCACTGCCGACCGCAAGCCGAAGCAGAAGCACCGGCCGGCGTTTTGGCCGCCAATTACTGTTGCTTGTAAGATATGACGTTCCGTTTCGTTGTTTTTTTTTGTTTGTGTTTTCCTCAAACAGTGGATTACAGGGGTGTACTTGCGATGGACTCTATACAAACTTGTCTCGTACCGATAAATTAACTGTGAAAAAAAAAAAAAAACAAACAACAAGGAGATAAGAAAAACCCCAACTCTGGCGATCGATAAACCGCACTCTTTGCAGTTACCTTAAAAATATAACGTAATCGGCAAACCACTTTTCACCAGTGAAACAATAACTTACCGCGAATGTGTGTACACTCGCGTACGCGATACAACGATGGATTAGACGAAGGTGCACGGTAGCGTATAGGCAGCAAAAAAAAAAAAAAAAAAAAAAAACGAGAGAAAGAACGAGCCCGAGGAGTAGAGGTACTATAGTTAAAAAGGCCTCGGACTAGCTTAGCAGCCTCTGTCTCGGCTACTCGCGTTGTAAGGTCGCGCCTTTTCTAGTGCATACACAAATTGATGGGTGGTAGTAGATACGTGTAGGATACGGCCAGACACATCAGCGCCAGTTAGCCGGCCGGCGCACGCGGCTCAGCGCCGATGGTTCGTCCTCGTGCTCTTTAATCACACACTCCGAGTGCAACACACACACACACACACAATGCTTCGGCCGTCATTCAGCTGCATTAAAAACACCAGTGCTCTCCCTCCTCGTCTATATAATATATGCTGTAAGGTTTAGGTATTGCCGCGCGACACTGACCCGCGTGACTCCCCTCTGGGTACACGTCTCTCGCGCCTTTTTCAGCCGTACGGAGGCTATACGTACATAGATCGTGCATACCCCTACAAAAGCGCATCCTTCGATTGTCTTTTCTCTCCTTTGTGCGAGCTGTAATGCTTAAAAATTCACAATTTGCCTTACGTTGGTAAGTATACACACATCGGGCGCTCCGTGCGATCTCTATCGCGTGCAAGGACTTTAATCTCTCTCTCTCTCTCTCTCCTGGAAAAAAAAAATGTAGCTTAATTGCCGTATTGTTCTCCTCCTCGTGTGCCTTGGCAATATAGTTTAGGATACAATAGCGCATTTCGGGTTATACAAGTAATGACCTACGCCTACTTTTTTTTCTTTTTTTCTCTCACCGCAAAAAAAGAACAAAAACCCCCAACGCAAATCTCTTTGTTTCCACGAACGCGAATTTTACTTTACGAGCGTTTCATAAAATGCAAATTCTACACGTACCGCATTGGTACGGAAGATGAAAAACAAAACACGGCTAGGCGGGGGCCCGCTCTGTATATATACAGCGCATCTAGATCCAGCAGGTTAAAGTATCCGGTATCGTTTAGGTATTAAAAAATAGGAGCTGGCCCGGGTGAGGAAGGTCAAACCAACAATGGGGGCTCTTCCCGTCAAATCAAACTCTCTCACAATCTACAATATACATAACACGCGCTGCGATCCCGCGAATTTCCGCGATTACTATCTGTTGTACAGGAACGCGACTCGATGTATATGAATCATAAAATTTTGAAAGTATAACCAAAAGAGAGAGTCTGCGTATTTTATTTTCCCTCCCTCATCTCTGTATATATAATATACGCAGGTGATGTAGTCCATCTCGCGAATGGCCTGTCCACTTGGGCTATACCATGAGCCAACAATTGTGCGTATATCCACAGTTTGTACGGAAAAAGTTTATTTTCTTCCCCTTCGCTTCGTTTCGGAAGCGTACTGTGTTTTTCTCGCTTCAAAAGGCCAATGTAATCTTTTTACAGATTCATCTCCGGGATTGCGTTTACCTCCTTCTACTTTTTGCAACTTTATTTTTCAACCCAACGGTACAAGAGTACATATATACCTACAGGTACACCCCGCAGTTCCCAATAGACCGCTGGAGAGAAATGTTCTCCTCTTACACGTATATAAGACTCAAGGATATAAATGCCCACTCGCGGCATTCGCGGAAAAACCTCCAAAGTTTACGAGCCTCCTCAACTTGTGAGGGCTGTTGGGCAACGTAGTTTTCCCGGAAAGATCGTCCCCGCGGTATTCGCGACCTCGTGGCTATGGGTAATGCGTACCCTTTGCTCGGGCATCAGCTAATGCGACCATACTTACACGTAACGCGTCCAGCTCACGCTTGTTTCAATTTTCCCTTACGACACATTGTGATAATATATATTGGTGGGCACCATCGTTATTGTCTGTACGTGTATTATGCCGGTGTGCAGTTCAGTGCGCGACGGTGAAAGTAGGTCGGTCGGGGGCGAAGGAGGGGTGGTGGCTCGCCCTCTAAAACGGGAGGAGGGGGACGCTTCGGGCTTTTTTTTTCATCATCCAAAGGGACGATATCCTCTCGAGACCCGCCGCGTGCGCCTGAATCTCTGGTTGTGCGATCCTTACCGTTTGACGTGTGTGCCCTTTTGTTCTCTCTCTCGCATTACTCGATCCTTTGAACAATGAATAAAAAAAATAAATAAAAAATGATTTTTGGTTTCAGGTCGCGAAAACGAAGGCCGAGCTCGAGCAACGACTCGGAGCGCTCGTACAACGGTAGTACCGAAAAATCGGACAACCTGTCGGACACGAAGGAGGAGGAGGAGGAGGAGGGCAACATGGACGAGTGCTCGGCGGCCATGGTGCTCATGTCGCTGTCGACGCCGCCCAAGAATCCCCTGCCGCTGCACTGCCTGCAACAATACGGTGAGCCATGATTTTCCACTCGGAAGTAATGAAAACTTTACCCTCCCCCCCCTCCCCCCTCGGCCGCTTCTATACATTTCCGGGGGCAGCAATCGTATACTCACTTAATTTGAAATAGTGAATAATTTGGGTCGTTTGTCCATTTGGTATTTATCTGTAATTCAACAAACGATCTTGATTCAAATGAAGAGAAAATTGCACAACCCATACACATTGTTTTTCCAGTGGTAGCAACAATATAAGTTTATCAACTAATTTAAATATAAGTTGGCGGAAATAGCGAATACTTACTAATTCGTAGTGAATATTCACTAGTTTAAATAAGTCATGAGTATAAAACTTTGAAATAGCGAAATACTTATCCCGTGTACATGCACTATTTTGACAAAGTTGTGCACTTATAACCATTTCAAATTTCGAGAGTATTGTTATATAGTCATTATTTCGCGTTGGCCTTGAGAATTTTCTTCTCCTCTCTTGACGCTCGGCTCGCGTGGATGCTGTCCAATATTTCGCGCACCCGGCACACATATATATATATATATATATAATATACCTTATGCATACATAAGTAAATCGGGGAAATGATTCGTTCATTGTACGATGCGTCGACGGAGGAGTTATATATATGGAAACATGTACCCTGTACACAGAGGTAACGGGGTATGAGGTACAGTGAGGATGTAAAGGGTAACAATGACATTTGCAGGTTCCTGGGACGGAGTGACAAACGGGAACAATCATCACCAGATGGTGACGAGCTCGTTGGCGAACGAGGGTCCGACGTCAAACAGCAGCAGCAGTAGCGCGAGTTGGCGCAGCAGTACCCCGAGTCCGCCGCTGAGCGACGAGGGCCCGAACGGCTGTTGGGCCAACAATGGCACGACGAGCGGAGTCCCACAGCCAGCGTTGCCGGGGCACATGGTCGCGTCCTCGATACCGACGCAAACCGCACAGCCGCAACACAACAATCAGTATCACAATCACAACGGCCATCAACCAACGACGCATCATCACAACAACAATCAGTATCATCACAACAACCACCACCATCCCCACCACCACCACCACCAAGCGCACAACAATCGGCAGTACTGTCACCCGTACGCGAGGGCCTCGCCCTCGAGCCCGCCCGGCTTCATCATACCGGACGAAGGCATCGTTCCCGATCTCGATCTCGATCGGCCTCGCAAAAAGAAGGTGAGTCTCTCCTCTCTCTCCTTGCCATCCCCACATATTTATACGTGTGTGTGTTCCCATTGTCTCTCTGTCATCGTCACATGTAATATAAACACGCACATAAATATGTTTGTACAAAGTGCGCTCTTTTTCTTTCTTTCCTGTGCATTAGTCGCCGATTTTTTTCTACAGTTTCAACCTCCATGTACCCCTGACGCGCTTTGATTAATACCGAGCAATCGAATGCCCGGGCGCCTGGTTTTTTCTCGCCCACGTTTGGCATAGGTGCGCACTTTCTCGATTTGAATTGCAAAAATGTGTGTGTATTTATATATATGTATATACCAACGATAAAACGATCGCGCGCCACAGGTATATACCGCGGATCTACCGTAAATCTATGGGATAGACCGTATGGTATTTAGAGCGTGTCATTGCTATTGTGCGCAAAAACCGAGTAGGTGTGACATTGGCCGTACGCGTTTATTTACGATGCCGCTGTTGCAGTTGTACATATAGCACTAAAATAAAGAAAAAGAAAAAAAAAAAAAAATGGCCGTGCCGTGTAACAACGCGCGGTAGCCCCGCGCGTATGCGAATAACTTTCTTGCGATATGTCGTACGTTAAACGAGCCAACGCGCGCGTGCTCGTGTGATATGTCATATGCATACGTCTCAATGACGTTCGTACACGTAAATGACAATGGCCTCACGTCATTCTTATATATATACAACCTAACGTGCATTGCGACATTAGCCGCGTGAGCATATTCATCCGCTCGGTGTATTTTAACAAAAAGGAGAGAAAAAAAAAATCAATGCAATCCTGTACAACATATATACGTATATATATATAAACACAAGGTCGTGCATTTCTCTCGTTTAACGGCTAAACCAACCCACGTGTGCGAGCTTTCGTTTTCGTTGCAGAGTCTCTCGCACACACTCAAAGCAGCGATCCAACAAAATTTTCATCCCCCCCTCCCACGTTGTTGGATAGTGTACAGCATATACATATATATCTGTATACCTTATTGGTACACAAGGCCGAAATTAACATCATCATGATTACCATTATCATCATCCCGATCAGCTCTCGCGCTCAATTAGCGTCTGGTAAGGTAATACTTACCGGCGGATGAAAATTCCTAGCGTCGGGGTATATGACATTGCGCAATCCTATAATATGTGCTCGCGCGTGGGTGCGCGTATGTGTGTCGATAAAAAAGACACGCTTACAATACATGTGGATATAACTTATATACACACAAACATACACCCTACCAAAGTGCATCTATTCTATAGACAGACAAATGTGCACGAGACGCGCTTACGTGCGGTATAGAAGAGAAAAACCTTGGCTAGCCGATGCACATGTATACGTATCGGGACTTGGCGCGCGTGCACTACGACAACGACGTGATCTACGTACGTATACATGCACTTGCATCTCTACACGCGAGCGCGCTGGTTGCAATTTGCCCGTTGCACACATGTATAGAGCTATCGGTTAGTAGTACGCGTCAGAGCGACGAAGAGAAAAACTATCCGGGGAGGGGGGGGGGATGTAGGCAAAAATTTTCCCCTGTGTTGTATATACACGGAGCTGCAATCGACTTTCACTGGAGCGCGGGAGGAGGAGGACGCGTACGCAAGGTTTCTCGAGCGCCTTCGGATTCGAAAACAAAAAGGAAAAAAAAAAAAAAAAAAAAATCGGCCGATCGGGTTGCGCTGACGGCGGAGATTGTTTCCCAACGCGGATGCAATCGAATCGGTGCACAATGAGGGCTGTACCCTGCGTTTTGACTTTCTAGTCCCGCGAAGTGATGCAGCACCTGCTCCGGCGAACTGTAATTTCGCGCGGTACCCACACGCAGTGGCCATCAAAGGGAGAGAGCAATGATTGGGATTGAATTTTTTTTTTTTTTTTTTTTTTGTCTCCGACCGAGATCGAAATCGCACAGCCTCCGTATACCATATACGTGTACTCGATCGGCAAAGGCCGAGGAGAAAAAGGAGCCGATATAATATCTTATCGCGGTTGTAACACGCGCGCGCGGAAGAAGAGCTTCTTTTCTTCTTCGCCAACTTACGTAACGCTCGTCGCGAGGCAGAGAGCGCGTGTGTTATAGGTACTTGTATAAGGCGCGATTTTTTTTTTTTTTTTTTTTTTTTTTTTTTTTTTTTTTTT